AGTTTTATTACTTAATTATGGGACTTATTACAGGTGATAGAACAGATTATAACTTTCAGAAGAGAAACACCTACAGGGTCTTCTACAACCCTTCTCTTTTAGACATAAACTTGATTTCTACAGCTACTGCAGTTGTGGCAGGAATCATGTATGGAAATAACAAAATCTGAACTGGATTTTTATCTCTCTTGCTGAATCTACCCTAATATTCTGCTAAGCGCTCCTTAAACCCTTGGTGCTGATCATTCAAGCCTGCGATTTTTACATGAGTTGTTTCCTTGGCTCTATTCTGAATACTGATCCCTCTTACAGTGAAGTAGCTTTGGGGTAGATTATTTTCACCTCTGTGTGAGCTTTTCATGGTGATCAGGTACTGGGCACAAGGGAACTACTGGAATATTAAGCTTTGGGGAAAACAAGCTTTAGGAACTAGCTTCTATTGGAAGTCAAATGGCAAAGACAGGAGCACAGGGGGAAGAGAAACACATTAGTTCTTTCTCTTCATCTTCTTTTCCTTGTGGGTATCATTTTAGTAATCTAGAAAAAAGCAGTTAGAGTAACCTAGAGTATTAGGTTTCATCCTAGTATTGCAAATCAAGAACTTCAGTTTCCTAACAAGATCTACAGCCCATATACAACAGTGGGTTTGCCCAGACTAGTCGGGGAGCTTTGCAGACCTTGGTTGAGCTGAATGCTGATGTCCTGTGAGGAGAGAAGAGTATTCAGCTCAGTCTGTGCTTTGCCTGCTGGGAAAATCCAGTTTATTGCTCCATGTCAGAGGCCTGCAGAGAGCACGGTGTGCCTATTGAGTACCTGATATATTCACAGCCTTGTCCCATTTCTTAGGGCTTTTTCATCCAAAAAATACACCAGGAATTGTGCCGTGGCTAGGACTCAGGGAAGTGGTGAAAGCCATTAGGTCTGGTAAGCCATGGCTACATAAGCAGAAGAGTTCACAGAAAGGAATTTAATACTTCCAGTAAAACGTGCTAGGATATCTAGCTTTTTACCATGCAGAAACCAGATTCCATTTAGGAAACATGAGCATTATATCAGCCTTGTATCAGTTTTAACATTAATGTGTGGCTAATAATTTATTACTTGTAGAAATAAAAACTTTCTAATGCTCCTTCAGGGAATGTGCTGTACTTTTCATTTCCTTGACCTTCTAGGTTTTCATCATTATTTATAGATTACTGCAATGTATTAAAATAAATTTCTGAACAAAAAAAAAGAAAAAAAAATCTTTCATTAGGGATAAAATCAAAGAGGTCATGCAGAGTGTAATTTTTATGAGCAGATGTGCTTAATTGTTCAAAATAACTCCAGAACACTGTTTGGATATGTTAAAAATAAAAATGCTGACCAATACAAGTTTTAAATAGATCTGCTATAATTTATGCATAGGATATGCAGTATACTTAGTGAATTCTTTTGCAATTTACTCCTAAAATAATGTACTATTCCCTCCAATTAATTTATGTTACTTGAATAATAAATCTGGTAACTTTAATTATATTATGAATACTAGTATCTGGATGCAAACTTCAGGTTGCCAAAGACAGATGAAAAGCAAATTTCAGGAGATCTAACAGGGGTTTGAAATAATAAAATACCGAACCTATGAAACTAATGGGAGTTCATTACTGAAATAATGATACGTCCATCTTATGTAATGCCTCTCTACAGGAGGAACTGATGAAAGTCAAAGAGGAGAAACAGCTGGAGAATAGCTGGGAGGTATGAGGGCTGCAGTGAGAATTTGAAACAATCTGCAGAATCCCTGAAGAAATGAGAGATAGGTCAAAGCAAAGGTCTTAGCCCTTCAGTACTATTTCAACATCATAGAAAATTTGCATTTATTCCATGATCAAAATCCATTCACTGTGTTTTGGTTCCAAGTCAGACCAGTAGCTGGAAGGGTCTTGTATTGTGTTTTCATGGGATTTTTGTCACTCTTGTCCGGTGTCCCTAGCTGGATTGCAGAACAGGGTATCTATCAACTTCCCCAAACAAAACAGCATGGTGGGGAGTTTTGTGGATCCCTTCATTGTACAGTAGAGTTGTTACTATATCAGAGTAACAATTAGAAACTTAAAGAGGGAGGTAATGTATTGGTGAGGGCTAAACAACACGGTTTCACTTGGGTAATGCGTGCTGTTCCTCTGCTGCTTCTCAGATTTAGATTCAGGGAAAAATCTTTGAACTAAGAGAAGCTGGATGCCAGGCACTTAAACTGCTCTTTTAATTAAGTCTGGTTATGAAATGATATGATCTTGGCAACAACAATATCTGCTAATTGTTACTGCCTGTTCTGAATTTGTTACTCAGTTCAGTTACAGAGGAACTAAATGTTCCTCTCAACATATTTTTTCCCTCCCTAGTAACACAATGAATCATGAAGGACATTTTCTATGAAAGCTGGTGCAGCACAGACCCCGCTATAGGAAGAGATTAAGTTAGAAACAGAAATATGTTATGATCTTGATTCTGCTGAAAGTACAAGCACCTATTTCACTGTGAAACACTGGTGATTTCTTTGTTTTTGTTTTACCTCCATGTTTCAGCACACTCTTGCATTGTGTTTTGGCAGAACTTACCCAAGCTTAAATGCTTGACTTGAGTCAAGGTTTGGATTGCTGTGAATTTGGATGCATGTTATGTCCACAGTCCCACCTACACCACAGAACTTGTTGGACATTAAGCTGTTATAAGTACTTGGGCAGTAAAAGCCCTGGTATTTTTCCAGCTATCTACAAGTTTAGAGCAATGTGGCTGGGCTAATTTTCTGGGGGATCATGTTGAACTAATGCCTGAACTAGCAAGAAAACTGTTAATTAGGGAAAACAAATGAGTTGTGCTACCTAATTGTATATCCAAAGTGTGTCAGTGGGGAGAAATGTCTTTTTAAAGATGTGGCTACTCTGCATTGGGATATGTATTCCAGCCAGGATCAGTCAGCAGGGAGCAGGCACTGTCTTTGGCTCTGCCAGACCAGAGGGGCAGAAGTGGACTGTACTGGGTATTGTGGCAGTGTGCAATTGGTTTTTCCTAAGAAACTGGAATAACTGTAAAGAGATACAGACTCTCCCAGAGAAATGCAGGTGGCACTGCAGTGTGTAGGACCCTGGAGAGGTCAGAATCATGGTCCAGGTTAGGGTTGGATTTTGTCTGGTTTACCATCTCAGTAGTCTTGTTGTAGAGAATTGCTGTAAAAAAAAAAAAAAAAGCTAATTGCAAAAAATAAAAGATCAGATGGACTTATGCATAAACCAACAGACATTCCACCCTTTATGTGGCAAATATAAATGCCCCTTATCTAGTGTCAACTTGTTCCACTTGTGTTTTAACATCCCATCTATAATCTACAGTTTCCCTGATTTAAATCATAGGGTCAGTAGCAAGATAAATCCAAGAGATTAACTTGAAGCACGTGATCCAAAATGTGCCAATAACTGTGCTTTTCTGTATTTAAGCCATGCAGTGCTATGAGGATAGTCTCTCAAAACTGGAGCTCCCAAATGCCTGCATGAAGCTGCATAACTCTGCAAGTGACTGTGATTATGTGTCCATGTGGGAGACTGATCACAACTCCTGGAAGTACCCCCTGGGCTCCAAACTGCTCCATACTGAGCAAGACTGGTGCTTGCTGAAAACTGGAACTGAATTGTCACTTCACTGAGCTTTACTCCATCACAAGGTCATGGGAACCTTGATGAGATTTAAGAAATGGAATAACAAAAGCTGAAAATCTGATTAAAAAAAAAATTAGGCCTTGATTCATCTCAGCGCTTAAATACATGTCCAACATTCAGCATGTCAAAATTCTGTGGGTACCAACAGGACTGCTTACAAACTGAGGCCCCGTGAGCTGACCCAGGCCCTGAACATACAGGTGTTGGCACAGACCTGGCCTTGTGTCTTGGTATCAGCTCTCAGTAACTGCATTCACAGCATCTAAAAGGCTGAATTGGAAAAGATCATCTAGACTATCCCATGAAGTGGCGTTGTTGACTTCTGTGTAGTCCTAGCACTTTCTTCTGGCAGTACTTGGATATTCCAAAAGGGACATCTTCTATTTGCGTTAGGAAATCACTCCCACTGCCTCTCTGGCAATCATTCCCCTCACTCTTTACTATTTGTACCTTTGGAGACTTCTTAGTGGTCATCTTATCTTCAGGAATTCTATTTTTTATCTTTCTTCTGGAGAAGCCATCACCATTTGGTAAAAAAGCGAACACCAACTCTTTTTGATATGGTCAATAAGCTTATTTTTTTATTCCTTATTACTATTTTAAATAAATATATGAAAAAGAAGTTTGAAAACTTTTGCCGTCTAGTATGAAATGTTTACAGTTTGCAGACCACAACTGCATTTCAAGCAAATTCTCTTGCAAACACTATGTATTTACAATAGCAGTGCAATTTGTTATTTATAGATTGATCGTCTGGCTACAGGCAAACTTTGAAAGCCTTTACATAGAGTGCTTTTATTTTATGCTTATTAGTGGCTTTAGATACAGAATTCAGATTTGTATCGAGGCTTCTTCTGTATGCCTGGTGGATGAGCATTGTGTAAACAACACTGGTGCATAGCCCTGAAAGAATCCGTTCTAATGCTTTGCTCAAGATGTTAATTGCAAGAACATTGGAAACTCAGAGGCAAATAAAATAACAAGTGTATTTGTGCCAACAGAAGCTGTTTTGTTTGTTACTCATTCAGTATTAGGTATTCAGCAAGATACATGACTGGCAGAGACAAAGTTTATTCTTATTAATCATAGAGAGGAATGAATATTTAATTTTAAATAAACTCTGACTTTTGACATTCTCAAAACCTCCAGCTCCATAATGTTGCGTTGGCTTGACTGTTTATTATATCTATGCTGACAGAGAAAAGTAGCATCATAACCCGTGTTGTTGCTTTGCGTTGTGTATGATGTTGATGTACACGTGTGTATATTTCTATTCATGTTCTTGGGAATGTTTTACAACCAGGCTTAGTTCCCTCTGTAAATGTATTTGATTGGTGATGCTTGATCCTCCAGAATCAAGCTGTCTGTCTCATTGAAGGTGTCACTTTCACCAGAGTGATTGGCATTTTTTACTCCATGTAGCCGAGACTGCAGTCGTTCATGTTCTTTTCTCAACTCCGAGTAGGAATGGGAGAAAGTGTGGAATATTGATGTTGCAGGAAAAGACATGATGAGAATCCCACTGAGGATGCTGCTTAGAGCCACCATCTGGCCTGGGACACTCCGTGGTACCATATCTCCATACCCCACAGTGGTCATTGAAATGATAGCCCACCAGTAAGAAGCAGGTATGCTTGTAAATTCAAGCACCTTCCCAGATTCATTCTCGGCGAGATAGACCAAAGGAGAAAACAGAGTGACAGCCACGCATAAGAAGAGTAAAAGCAGGCCAAACTCCCGTGTGCACTTCCGAACTGTGAGGCCCAAAGTCTGCAAGCCCAAAGAGTGTCGGGCAAGGCGCATTACGTACAAGATCCTCAAGGCACGTAAAACCCGTAGCACCAAACCAACCTTCTCCAAATATGTGTTGCTGCTTGGCCTGTCATCCTCCTCATTTGAGTCATCCTCTGAGAAGATGAGGGAAACGTAATAGGGTGAAATAGCCACGAAGTCAATGATGTTTAGGGGTCCTTTGAAGAACTGACACTTGCTCCTTGCCTGAATGAATCGGAGGCAGAACTCCAGGGAGAACCAAGCCACACAGATGGTCTCTATGACGAAGATGTAATAGCACTTCTGGGAACACTCGCCCTGACACAAAACAAAAAGAGAATTCAATAAAAGAACAGTCTGTGAACCAGCATCCAAAAACACTAAAGAAGAAGAAATATGTGTCTGCCTGAGTCACTGGTATCAGAAATGAACAAATCCCAGCTAGCAGGCAGTCGTACAGCAGCCATCTTTCAATGGTGTATAGACAATAATGAGACCATGAAATAGCTGCATGAACAGATATATCTACCTGCTTATTTTTGTTATGTTGCTTCTTCCGTTCTAAATGAATGAAACTCATCTCTGTATAAAGTCTTGGCATGAAGCCTGTAAATCCCAAATAAGTCTCACTTTCTGATCTCAAACAGAAATTAATTTAAACTTGACTGCTTTATAAGCCTGTACAAATATTAGTTTCTGTTCAAAAGAAAGATTAATGTTTGAATGTCTCTGTAAACTTCTGCTGCTGTTCAGTGTGTGGTGCTTTCACAAATGCAATTAAAAGTGGTTCAGAGATATTCATTAAGTCATCTGGATCCTTGGCTCAGTTGTGCCATATGTAAATCATGTTTCTTTCTCTTGATGCAAATATTTAAATCTAAAGGAAAATAAATATCCACCCAGTAGGTGAATCTTCCTTTGAAGAATCCTTTCCCAGGGTTGAGGCCACATGCTACAAGCAGTATTTTCTCAGTTTTCTTATCAAAGGAATTGCTTTAGTTGAACTGCCTCAGATTCACATTTTTTATTTTCCTGAGCTGCGCTTAAAAAAATGAAATTTCTTTTGGCCTATTCCAGTGAAACGAAGTGGCAAGTGTAAATTAACTTGTAATTATTTATATAATTAAGAGACTACCTTGAGCTTTGTCCTTTAGTGGTAGGCAGCCACTAGGTTATATCCGTCCAAAGGGTGAGCTAACAGATGGACACATCACTTACAGGGACTGAGGTGTACATGCTGCTTCCTTCGTATCCATGAGTGTCTGCTTACTGTATTCCAAGTGGCAGAAAATGAACAGGGTCCTGCCACTGTTTTTTTGCCTTATAGAAGATAAGAAATAGCAGTGAAAGCAGCAGGTACTGCTTAGCAGCTGGACACCTCACCCTGAAGAGAACACAGTTTTTAAATATTGGTGTCACTGCTTTCTTACACACTCTATTCATAAATAGGTTCCTGTACCTGTTCAGACAATATGTCCTAAAGAAACCTGGCCTTGTGGTTGGACTAACACTGGGTTTTTTTGCTTTTAAGCATTGTGACTAAGTCTGTTGAAGAAAGGCACCTAACAGGGACTTGTGTGATATTTTCAGTGTCATGATGCTGTTCACATTAAGTTCTTCCATCGGTGCAAATGTTCGGATTACAGTTCTAATCCAAAACCAGTTCAAGTGAACTGGAGTCCTCAATGGACTTTGGCTGACTTTGAAGCAGCCTTATGTGCTTTTCTTTGTTGAGCATATTACCAGAACACTGGCATATGAAGTGTACAGGGTTTAAGGTTTTGGTGAAGATGAAAAAATCTTAGCTATAACTGGGACCCGTAGAAAAGGGATTGACTAATATCTCAATCCTTTGAACTTCCAGACTGGGTTCAGAATATGAGTTGTCACTGCATGTTCCAGAAAACCCAAATGTAGAAGGCAGTACTTTCATTTTAAATTTTTAACCCCTTGAAATTTAATATTTAGCAAATAGTTCCTTCCAGATATTTGCTGGAAGGTCCATGTATGACTTTGGTACGTGAAGGCTTAGAAAGCTTAAAGAGTCTTCTGCTTGTATTCTTACTGAACAGGGACTTGTACCTCTGAGATGTTCACAACTGCAGAAGATCAAGCAGAATTAGGGATGGTGAAGGAGGATCTGTGCAGAGGAAGAACCTCCTCTGGGAGAGCAGAGTGGCCATGTGTTATTCTGGAATTGTGTGTTAAAGGCTTTTTTGTAACCTCAGTAAAATGAAGTCAAGGCTGCTGTATGCATCTTTCCTGATAGCTTGTCTCTGAAATTAAGCAACTTTAGAGGAACAATTCCTCATACAGTGTTACCCATTCTCAGCCAAATTTCATGAGCAATATCGATTAAAAACATCACGGGAAACACATACCCCTACTACTAATTGAACTTGCAACCAGCTTTCAGTTACCCCATCAATGTGATGTTGGGTTTTTAGAACATCCCTTGTGATAGAACTACTACTGTTCCTGGGAGTAACAAGTCTTTTTCTCCAGACAGTGTTTGTATCATTGGCTCTCTGAGGCTCCCAGGGTAAAATGGTCACGTCCCTCACGTATACGTTCTACCCTGTCTAACCCTCAGAACAATTTAGCTCTGTAGCACTGTTTGGGGATTTTTCCTCTTTCTGCACAGTAGACTGTCAAGATCATAGTTTATCTCTTAAAATAAACATTGCAGAAGGTAATGAAGACTTGGCCCTGCTAGGGTTATGTGTACAGGATCGGGTTAGAGCCCCGTTTGAAGTCATTGCCATGGCAGGACCTAGAGTGTGTTGATGTTTGCAGAGCTGCTGACTTGGCTTGATGAGTTTGCCTGCAATCAGCACTTATGTTACAGAGTGTTCACTTTTTCTAAGTCGTGAATTATTTGTACAGTGCAGCCTAGACTCTGCACAAACATACCTATAGTCACTGCTTTAATATGGCCTGTGAATTCTTCCCATGAAGGTTTATTTTATTTTGTGTTAACTGGGGTCAATTTCCAGTACATCTCTTACTTATTTACCTTTATACATTTATGGGTGACATTGGTCTCAGATCATTATGTAGCTTTCACTGTTCTATCCTTGGAAAATACAGGACAAGAAATTGTGTTTGCTGGGATTTTTAACCATTAAGATCTAGGATGTCTTGAATTGAGTGTGAAATTTCAAGGTATAGAGTTATAAGGACTGGTTGTGAGATTTTTTTTTTTTCTTCTCTCCATCCTTGATTGCCTCAGTATACTCTGTTATATATGTTTAGAGAAAGCAATTTGTGCAGGCAGCTTCCTAAATGTGTATTTCATTTTTCAGAAGAGCATCCTGCAAATCAAACTTTTCAGGAACGTTACTGTGCGTGTTATTTCTCCTTTGTGCGTAGTTGTGGATGTAAAGCACGGCAAGTTCTCCCCTGTTAGCACACTTTGTCTTTTTAATGTGCTTTGTAAAAGATGTTTTCGAAATGTTTGCATCTGATTCAAACCACAGTCCCTTTTTTCTGCTGGAGCAAACAGAAGAGTGACGATATTACAGTCTCTGACACTGTGACTAATGCAGAGAATTCTGTGTTTCCTTTTTCTCAGAAGAGACAGAAAAAGAAGGATGTGTTTGCTTTAGACATACCTACACTATGTGAAGATATGTAGCAAAACCAGCCCTGTGTCTCTGAGGGAACTGATTTATACATGTGGCACAGTAGTTCTGCCTGGTGGTGACTAACTTGAGCCCTAGAAATAACGTAGCTGGGTTACCACCTTGCAGAAGGGCCATTTCATTCCATGATGTAGTGTAGACCTACCATAATGTAGTCAGTCATATACAACATCTGCTAGAAACTTCCAAGCCTCTTTCTGTGCTTGTTTTTATTTCTCTGTCACCAGTGTCTGGAAAGAGAGTGCAAGACCCTGGCTCTCTGGGATTTAATGAGAACATGCTCCTAGATTTCACACTGGGAGATAGATTTCATCCAGTGAGCTTGTATGTGAATGTTTTATAAATTAAGAATATCTGTATATATTACTTAGTATATGTGATACGGTTTATATAGAATATCCCTCTCTAATGTCAGTCTCTTTGAAGATTCTTGATCCTTTTGAACATCCTATTCAAAAGCGGTGAATATTGGAATAAAAGGGAAAAAGAGGAAATATTGTTCCAAAGCCAATTTCTGTTTCTCCCAGAATTTTTGCTGATTTTTAGACCTTAGAGTGGTCTTATGTTCCGCTTACAACTGTTGTCCAAAGATCAGGCAGAATAACACACTGACTTCAAATGCTATGTTCTTACCAAAATATGGATGCCTCTCTGTCAGTGGTAGATTTCAAATTTGCTTTTATCACTAAATTCCTATCAGGTATTAGTTACTGTCAGTGAACTGTCAAATTATTGGCCAAATACTCTTATCCATGAAAGAGTTTTTTTGCATAAATGGCCGATAAAGGAGTTTCTGTGACACAAGGGCTTCTATATATTTTTCTCTTCCTCAATAAAACAAACATGTTTGTGAAATTCTAGTGATCAGTGCCTGTCAATGCAAAACACAACAAACAACTCCCTCTCTTGACCTCACCATTAACTACAGCAGAATTATGAGCTTTTATTTTCAGATCTTTGAGTCACATTTGTCACTGACTTCTTTCTCCTCCTGACTGCATTTTTGCATCTAGAGAGCCTATAAAATCTCCAAGCCATTAAGGTGTTGACTGTGAAGATGAAGTTTTATTTATAAATGACCACAACATATTTTGGGTGGGATTTTTCTACAAAACCCTCTTGGCATATTTTACACTACTGTGGCATCAATCAGTACTCGAGCTAGCGTTAACTCTGACAGGAGAACAGTTATCACAAAGCTAGTGGTGAGTGAGTATCTAACTCTTTATTCATCTTGCAGATTTACTTTTGAACAATGCAAGTATTTATTGGGATTTATGGAACTTGTCTCTAGCTGAAATTCTACAATATATGATATAAATGTAATATAATTAGTGCTTGATATTGATCTTATGTATGAAAAGGGCATTTGGCTCAGTAATGAGAAAAATAATATTTTGTATGTAAAAAGATATATACTAAGCCTGATGCCTGAAATGTTGAGTGATTTCTTAAATTTATAAACCACCTCAAAGAAGTAAATTGGCTGTTTCAAACTTCTGTACCACCAGTGATAATAAGCAATTCATGCTTCCCTTTCATTATTGCCTTCCACTGTATAAGGCAATGGCTCATTTTCTGGGTTCTCTTATGTGTTGGAGTATTTATAGTGCCACAGTAAATGTGCTCGGTTTAGGATACTTCTATTAACTTCTCTTTAGATATGTAAAAATA